AAAGAGCACCGCCTTCAGTATGGATTGCAACTCAATGTAAAGAAAACAAAAATCCTCACCACTGGACTAATAAACAACATTCTTAACAATGGAGAAAAGATTGAAGTTGTCAAGGACTTCAGTCTTCTTGGATCAACTATCAACACTCATGGAAGCAGCAGTCAAGAGATCAGACGACATATTGTATTAGGCAAATCTGCTGCACAGGAACTTTTTAAAGTGTTGAAGAAGAGCAAAGATGTCAGCTTGAGGACTAAGGTGCGCTTGACCCAAGCCATAGTATTTTCAATAACCTCATACGCATTTGAAAGCTGGACAGTGAATAAGGAAGACCGTAGAAGTATTGATGCTTTTGAGTTATGGTGTTTGAAGAGAATATTGAAAGTGCCATGGGCTGCCAAATGAATCAACACATCTGTGTTGGAAGATGTACAGTCAGCGTGCTCCTTGGAGGCCAGGATGGCCAAACTTTGCTTTCATACTTTGGACATATTGTCAGTAGGGATCAGTCGCTGGAGAAGGATATCATGTTTGGTAAGGTGGAGGGTCAGAGAAAAAGAGGAAGACCCCAGTGAGATGGATTGGGAAAGTGGTAGCATCAATGGGCTCAAGAATGGCAACAATTGTGAGATTGGCCCAGGATAGGGCAGTATTTTGTTCTGTTGTGTATAGGGTCACTATGAGTCTGTACCGACTGGATGGCACCTAACAACAACAACATCGGTATGCTTGAGTCCCTTTTGTAGTCACTGTGTATTTTGAATGTCTTTCAATCTAGGAAACTCGTCTTCCAACAACACTTCACTGAACAATACTCTGCTGTGATCTGTAGGGTTTTACTAGGTAATTTTCAGAAGTAGATCACCAGGCTTTTCTTTTTGTCTTAGTGTGGAAGGTCAGCTGAATGCTTTCCACCATGGGTGACCCTGCTAGTAAAGGAGACACCTGTGGCATAGCTTCTGGTATCACAGCAACATGCAAGCCACCACAGTACCACAAATGGACAGATCCAAGAACTTCCTGATATTCACAATCCAATTTCATGGTTTTAGAGTAAAAACGTAAATTCATATGGCAAAATGGAAGTCATATTCATTTCATTTTTTTCCTTTAAAAATAGTCATTCGAAGTTCTTTGGGGTGGTGGTGGGCAACAGCATTGGGAGAGGTGAGTAGGAGTGGCTTGGTATAGAGAGCTCCCTTTTAAAACATCAAGTGCCTAAAATTTATTTACAGTCTGTATCTTGATAGACATTAAAATCAATACACACTTTTTTTGTATACTCAGGCATAAAAGAATGTTCTTTGTTCAGCATAAATGTACGCTCAGAGACCAGAGTATAAAAATCGCTTTACTCCAAAGGTTCCATAATACTGTAAGAAAAGCTTACGTCGTTTTGACCACACAATTAACTTTTCTCCTTAACGAACTAATTTTCCTCTGAATTATTGTTTTAAGAAAATGCTAAAATCTTTATTAATAAAAAAAATTAGCACATAAGGTCTTATAATTTTTCTTGGGGCCCTTATTATATGTTATACTCTTACCCATTTTATCAGTAATTGTTTTCATTTATCAGTAATTGTTTTCAGACAATGCAAAACTGGTCAAATGACCAACGCGACCATTGATTCACTGCTTGGTTTCAGCTTAAGACCAGAATGGTGTAATCGTGGGCATCTTTACCATTTATAGCACACAAGGAACCATTCAAAGAATGTTAAATATGACACCTATAATTAGAAAGACCTATGGTCAAACCATAGCAATTTTAAGAATGAGGTAATTTGGGGGATTTCTTAAAAGCAACGATTAATCCAAACTTTTCAACACAGTTTATTTATACTACAGTCAATTCCTTGTTTCCACCAAATATGCTCTTTAAAAGAAACGCGGGATTATCTGGCCTCAGTATCCTAACGGGTTAATGTGGCAGGTCATTGAGGGTATAGGATTTGAAATAAAAAGTCTCTCGCCCACATTCTTATTCTCACAGTCCTTACACCACCTTCCTGGGATCCAAAGGGATTGGAGCAAATGAAAAGTGTGAATAGTCAGGAGCCTAAGGTATCATGTTGCTCTTACTCAGAAAAAGTAGAAAGACTGTGATTAGATTAGGGAAGGTGGGAAAGTGACATTGGCAGGTAAAACACCGGAAAGTTACAACTTGGGTTATTTTTTAACTGGCTTCCTACAAACAAAGCCCGTGTGGGTGTCTCATTGGCTACCTGGTAAATGAACTTCAGGTGCTCTGTAGTTAGGGGAGACTTCTGAATCTGAGAACCTGGCGGCGGTTCAACGACCCCGCCCTCGGGGTCCCCAGGGGGCGCCTACCGGAGAGCCTGATTGTCTGGGGCTAAGGCGCAGAGAATGCAGGGAGTGAGGGAGGCGCAGAGACATCGGTCCCTCAAACAAAAACAAACCAGCCTTGATACGCTTTGGTGGAAACTTCCCAGTCTGTGACCAGAGCGGGAGGGGGCGGCGGGACGGCGGTTCCCCTAGCCGAGGCAGAAAAGAGCGCGCGCGAGTGTCGGGGCGCGCGGCGAGCGCGGCGGCGGCCGCCTCCTCCTCTCCCCGCCTCCGCCAGCGCTGCCTCCTCCCTCCGCCTGGCGCGGCCTCCCTCGCTCCCTCCCCTCGTGGCTGGCTCCGGCGGCGGCGGCGGCGGCGGCAAGCGGGGAGGGCGTGCGCCGACCGAGAGGTGTCGGCGACGAAGGAAGGGAAGTTTCAAGTGGAAGGTCGTCTGCCGCCCGGCGCGTTCTCCCCTTTCCTCCGGCAGCATCATGGCGGAGCCGAGCGGCTCCCCCGTGCACGTCCAGCAGCCCCAGCAGGCGGCTCCGGTGACAGCGGCGGCAGGGCCAGCCCCGGCGGCCGCAACAGCAGTGCCGG